GCAGTTTTATTACTAAATTACTGTTTTATCAGTGATTTTTAAGAAGGAGGTTTTAAGGTTTTTGCAATTTTTACTGATATTTAGTTTTGATAGTAATTTTTAAGAAAGAGGTTTTAAGGTTTCAGCGGTTTTTAATGATTTTTTGTTTTGATGGTGTTCTGAAGCCGGTTTTTAGGCGTTGACAGTTTTATTTCTGAGGTTTGTAAGGTTTTACAGGTCTCAACCAATATAGTAGTTTTGACAGTAATTATTCAGGAAACAGTATTAAGCCCTTAGAAGTATTATCATTAGGTAGATATTCGGAGGTTATTAAAATGATCTATTGACAGTAAGACCTCAGTTCACCGTAATTTTGTTACTGAGTTCTGACAATGAGAGCGGGTTTAAGGTTTTTAGACTTTTAGTATTACTAAATGTTTGCAGGTATCACGGTTTCTTTGATTTCGCACGTATGGAGGGTTTTAACAATAAAATTCCTTTTAATTACTTACTATTGCATGTGTTTTCCAAAACCCATATAAACTTTTTACATTGTAACTATTGTTGTTGCCACAGTCTGCGGCAGCAACAACAGTTACGCATAACGACTGGGTTCTATTTGGCACCGGTTGATGGAAGACACTAGCACCGGAACATGGGTCACCGGTGCAACCGGGCCGCCGTCCTTGCTAAAGGATCCCCCAACGCCTCATCCAAGAGGGTAGGCGGAAGATAAGAACGACTTGTTATACTATGTAAACCATCAGATGCTGTTATGTTGAAGTAAATATAAACTTTACCTTCTATTGAGATACTTATTATATATACTTATTATATATACTTATTACTTCAACATAACAGCAACTGAAATTCACTAAACAGACACACCATCGCTACACATGCCATATTCACGATCAGTGATGGTTTGCTTCTCCAGCATCGTTATGTACATGAACTTGTACATCCCAAAAGACACATCCTAATGCCTTTCTAAGTCGTCCTGCCTAACAATCACCTCTGCTGTGTTAACCGGAATTAGCTCTGCTAATTCTGTTTTTGTGTACTGACGACAGGCAGGTAACATACACAGTAACTTAGTTACGAATATTTTGCAAAAGCGCAATAATGATCTCAACAGAGTCTCGATCAATAGCTATATTAAAGCTATATTAAACCTTAGAGAAAGATGCTATTGACATAAGTAAGAAAAATATTTGCAAAGGTCAGGAAACCATGTCCCAGCACTAATTTGCCGATTATAAATTCCTGTTAAATAAGTTAAAGGTTGCAGTCCCATATACAGTTACATACTGCTATTAAAGTGCAGTACTCGTACAGACACAGAAGGGTACAGTACTGTACTTACCGGCGGGTGGCTAAACGAAATGGTCGTCTCCGATTTCGAGTTTTGTTTTCTCGCCAACCATTTACCGCATCGTACAGTATTTAAGACTCGTTCAAAGGAAAATTTCAAAGACTACTAAAAACAACAAACTTTGTTTTGGGAAAGAAGACACCTTCCTTAACAAGAGAACCAAATTAAGCTCTGAAAAGGTTCACTATGTCCCACGCACAACTGAAAACCTTGCGACATTTTCTTTCCGTACGAACTTTTTTCATTTTTCCAATGGTTTTATCTAGAGAATGGTTTCGGTTTTCATTCGAAAACAATTTTGTTGACATGGTAATTTGTGCCGAATGAATTAAATAGGTTATCTATTTTTGCTCTTTTCGAAAAAGTAAAGATTTATTATCCGATTTTTTTTGAACGAATTTGACCTAGAAAAAGACTCCACGCGTTAAAAACGAAATGATTTTTAAGATCTCTACTTGCCCAATTTACCAGAATTTCGTGTACGTTGTCTATGCTTTCTTGTTTTGTTTCCTGGCCGAACGCGGTCTCACACAACACGAAGTTTTTAACACTATTTGTAAAAACATAAGAAACAACCTCTGCGACACACAGCAGTGTGCTCGGGTGAATAACAGGAGTTTCTATTCTAGAAACAGGGAAATCCGAATTTTTGTTTCGTGGACATCCTGAAGCTCCACCTAGTTTGGCAAAATATTTTACTATAAACCATACCTTGGCATAAGGTCTATTGAGCATAATATTTGTACGTTGTAAAGATTGCTCTTTCAAATGGAACTAACGCACTGTCGATCAAAATTAAAGCGCACATTGATAATCAGACGGCCTTTTGTTTGGCCACCCGGTATCTCTGTACTGTTCTAGGAAACAGTTCAAAATCAAAGCACGTATACAGTGGCTCTACGATTTTTAGCCATTAAAAATTTTAAACATTTATTATTGATTTATTCTTCAAAAAGCTTTTCCTCGGATTTATCTTACAGTGTACATATCAGGAAATGTCTCCCAAATTTCTGAAAGTGTTCAACTCTCAAATTTGTAGGGTAGACATGAGACATAATTTACAGTTAAGTTGGTGTTTGGTGAGTAGACGGATCCGCGACTAATGCAACACAAGTACAACGGGTTTGCTGTGTAAACTTTGCTGCTAAGACACATGGCCATATAGTCAGAAATCAGCCAATTTCAGGTTTCTAGCACTTTCCATAATTTTAAAATGAAATCCAAAATTTTTGAAATTCATATTAAAATCGAAAAAAATGCTATGGATCTGATATTGGTTTAATTTGCCTATTTCCACTTTGTGGCATGTGTCTTGTATAGCAAAGTTTCAAAAAGATCGGATAATTACCAGACTTTTGGTACACAACAATGCATTTAAACTATTCGCCCATTTTAGTTCGCCATATCTCGGCAACCGGATGTTGCGCGCGCAAAAGGTTTTTAGAACAATGTATACAAATCATTTAGCTTTAGAATGGCGCAAAGTATTACAAAAAAGTGATTCGGAGTGCGCGAAAGCGAACTTTTTAGTGTATGTATCCCATTTTCGACCGGGCCTGGCCATTGTCCTTAAGCTGTCTTAGCCGCCTGTCTGAGGAGGGACAATTTTTCATGCTGGCATCTTACTGGTGGTTTATTGTTTTTTAAATAAAGTTCTTTAAATAAATAAAGGGGGGTCAGCTTTGCAGGAGATCGTTCTGATAACCGGCACCCGCGCACCCGCTCGTGGGCATTCGCTAATGCTTTACAAAAGATCGAGCGCACAGGATGTGCTTGCAACCTCCGTCAAATCGGTATCAGAACCAGATTTCAGTAAAAACTGCTAAAACTTTAAAACCGCTTTCTGAAAATCCACTGGTAAAACGATATATTAGTAATTAATCCGTTAAAACTTAAAAACCGCTTTCTGAAAAATCACTGTTAAAACTTGAAACTTTATGCTGTTAACAAAACCGTTAAAACCTTAAAACCGCTTTCTGAAAAATCCCTATCAAAACTGTGTATTAGTAATAAAACCGCTAAAACCTTAAAACCGCTTTCTGAAAAATCACTATCAAAACTGTGTATTAGTAATAAAACCGTTAAAACCTTAAAACCGCTTTCTGAAAAATCACTATAAAAACTGTGTATTAGTAATAAAACCGTTAAAACCTTAAAACCGCTTTCTGAAAAATCGCTGTCCATACTATATATTGTTATTTTTATTACTAAAAACTGTTAAAACCGTAAAACCAGTTTTTTGAATATCACTCATCTCATATAGTAATTTATTTTTTTTTTAATTTTAAGAGTTTTAGAAGTTTTAGTAGTTTTAAAGCTTTTAAGAGTTTTAAGAGTTTTAAAGGTTTTAAAGGTTTTAAAGGTTTCAAGGGTTTTAAGGGTTTTAAGGGTTTTAAGGACTTGGACCACTTTGTACCTACAGTGGAGGAAATTTTCGTGGACTCATCGATGAGCAGCGCGTCGGCCTCCTGGCGGTTGCGAGCCGGTCGTCTGTCGGCGACCTGCAGCTACACGCCCAATATCGCCCACACCCCCAACGAACTCCCGCACCTACCCCAACAGCACCATGCCCCGCACCAGCCCGTCCAGCTCCCGCACGTGACTCTGCAGCGAACGGTAGCGTTCCTTCAGCCCGGACACCGCCGCCCCCGTGACCTTTACCTCGGAAACCGTTTCCGTGACCCTCTGGACCTTTAGCTGGGTGTCAGACCCAGTGACTTTTAGCGGGGGATCCGCCCAGGTGACCTTTACTTCGTGATCCGTCTCGGTGACCTTTCCCTGAATGTCCGGCGTTGTGACCTTTGCCTGGGGACCCGTTCCGATGGCCTTCAGCTCCTGGTTGACACTCCGGAAGCCCAGTTTGACCTCGTACATCACACTCAGGATGTAGAAACTCGGGAAGGTCTCCGCGCTCAAGACGAAGAACAGCCACACCCCGATCAACGCCGGGAAGAAGAAATGCGGGAGGGGCGGGGGCGCCACGTGCAGATACTGCAGCAGCGCCGCCACCACGGTACGGTTGAACATGCCGGCAATCGGAGCAAACGCGCGGGCGAAGGACGCCAGACGCGGCGGTAAAGGTCACCGCCCACGCCACCACCAGGACGTGGAAGCCACGTCTCCGGGGGACCGGCGCCAGGGTGCGCTGGAGACGGGCGGCTAGCCCCGGCATCCGTCGGCAGCTGCGGATGAAGAGGAGCCCCATGAGGGGACCCTGAAGGTAGATGAGCATCTTGAAGGCGAAGGAGACGATGACGAAGAACTCCAGGTGCGCCAGCTGCTCCTTGTAGACGAGGTAGAGCCCGATGGACCACGGGAGGAAGTAGGCGGCCTACCCGGCCTGGATGAGGACGGACCACAGGGCGGCCGCGCAGTGGGGGCGCCGGGGGGCAGGGCGAAGGGGAAGAGGCCGCAGAGCTGGGCCAGGCGATAGAAGAGCAGCGGGAGGTGGGGCGCCGAGCGGCTGGGGACGGCGGGGGTGGACCGTGTCATCGGGGCTTTTTTCCTGCCGGTTAATATTCGACCTGTACTCGCACGTCTGCAGCGCAGTACAAGCGGCTTTTAATTCTACGTTATATCGAGGCATTACGTAACACGTCTGCCTGCTGTTGAGCCATGGCGATGCAACGTCGAACCGTGCCGCGGATCATCCTGCTCCTACCCAGCAGCATCCGCATGATTGCATGGAGGTGGACGGGTTTCTCCGCGGATTGCGTGAACTGCAGGCGACGGGGACGCTATGCGACGTGGTCCTGTACGGCAGCGACGCGGATGAAGGATCCGCGCTGGCCAACGGCATTCCCTGTCATCGCGGTGTCCTCAGCGTGCACAGTGCCTACTTTCGGGCCGTCTTCACGCACGACTGGAAGGACTCCCGGGATCCCGTCTTCCAGCTGCACAACGTTGACACTGCTACGATGAACGCGTGAGTATTTCGAAGTAGCTGTGTGCAGTGTGATCACATGCTGTTCTTGTAATTGTACTGAAAGCAGTTGCGTGGTTGTAAACTTGTGCGCATCCTACATTAATGATTAGGCATTGATCAGAAACTAGCGCCATTAATCTAACAATTACTGTATTCGTTTATCGTTCTTGGACTTGGTGCACGTGATAGGTTGGTCCAGTACGCGTACAGCATGGAGATCGGTCTGAACGCCGACAACGTGGCGTCCCTGGTGGTGGCGGCGGAGTTCCTGCAGATGGACCGCGTGGCTGGCAAGTGCTGGGCGTACGTGCAGCAGCATTTTCTTAGAAGTATTTTCTTAGTAAACAGGTACTGTATTATTAGTGGTTTTCTTTTCCTGCTGTGGGCAGCTTATTCAGCAGGCCAGGGTCAAAAGGAGGGAGGGAAAATTAAAGGGAGGGATTTTCTTTGGTCAAAAAGAGGAAGGGAAAACTAAAGGGAGGGAGTTTGAGCAGTCGAAAGGAGGGAGGGAAAACTAAAGGAAGGGATTTTGAGTGGTCAGAAAAGGAAGGGAATTTGGGCGATTCTAAAATTTGAAGAAGTTCAGAGCGAGCAAAACAAACTTCCCAACCTCTACTGCCGGAAGCTGTTGTAAGATTTAGATATAGTGGTAATCTTCCCCTTAACAAAAAATTTTCTCAGCATGTTTGAGATTGGATGCTATATTGCTATATGGAATCGTTGGAACGTTTTTATGTTCAAACTACATTTAGTTCATCTTGTAATCAAGCACGCGAGCAAAGCGAGCTTTTTTTATCAAGAGGACGAGCGAAGCGAACGCACGTTTCTTATTGACGACATTTGATAACTGAGAGTACCCGTAACCTTTGGGTCGCGGAGCAACTTTTGGGTGGCTGACTATTTTCTTTGTGATTCTTTTACGACGCAGCATGGTGAGTCGAACTGAAATACCCGGTGACCTAAAACATGGGTCCCCGAGATCGCCGTCAGAGCTTCCGATACCATACTAACATACCTAAATATTTCTAAATATTTCTAAATATTTCTAAATATTTCTAAATATTTCTAAATATTTCTAAATATTTCTAAATATTTCTAAATATTTCTAAATATTTCTAAATATTTCTAAATATTTCTAAATATTTCTAAATATTTCTAAATATTTCTAAATATTTCTAAATATTATCCTAGGAAAATGCTCCGCTTTAGACTAGCACTAGAAGACCGAAGCGAAGCTAGACATTAAATTAATTCAAGAACGTTGCAGTCAGGTTTATCGCACAATTACGAGTTTTAATGTGTTCAGTTAAGAGTTGCAAAAATGTAATGAATTTGAATAGTCGGAAACACACAGCATGGCTAGCTGTGTTTTAGGACATGCGTTTTAGCTGCTCTAATTCAGGTTTTCTCTCCTGAGTCGTCTTCTGTTTTCCTGACTGCAATAGAAGAAATGGAAATACTGGTTCAATGGCCAAACCGGTCCAAATTTTAATGCGTAAAAATCCGGCGTAAATTTGGAATTTGATTGCGAAACTAAGATAATATCTCGAGAATTAGGGTGCAAATCAGGAAATTAATTTTGCGTTTAAAACATGGAAAATACATATATAACTTGGATACACAATTTAATCGAAAAAACAATACAAAAATCTGGTTCTGATTTAAAAACTAATTGAATGGTTAAATAATGAAGTAAGAAGATTTCTTTTAAGAATTTTTCAGAAAGTAAAATCTTGCATTTTAGAAAAACTTAAAGCAAACAAACTCTTTCTTATAACCAAGAGGAATCTTAGTAATTAAGGATGCAAGTAACCAATGTTTAAGAATTTTGGTTTTAGGTAGGAATGATTCAAAAACGATTTTTGTATCAAATAAAAAGTTGCGAGAAGTAATTCAAAGTTCATTTAACAATTGGAATTATTTTGTAATTTAAGATTTGGAAGGGAGAAAAATTGAAAAACTTGGGCAATTTTCTATTATTATTTATTTTGATGCGCGCGTATTGCATTTTATCTTAATTTTGGCATTCTATACCGGGAGATAAAATTTGATAAAATTCCTTTTTTTCAGAATTGGGTTTCTGATGTACAAGATTTAAAAAATTTATAAAAAAATCAAAGCCATTAAAACCCATGTGCCAGTGGTTTTGCGCGAAATTTTTGAAAAATAACTCAATCACTCAAAAATATCCGTTAGTGCAAATAACTTTATATTGAGAGTTTGACTGTTATTTTAGGATTTAGGTATGTTATGAGTACTTCTGTTCGACTTAGCACATCAAACTGCATAACGTGCGTATATACTGTGGTAGCCCTGGCTGCGACCTCGGGGACCGAGGTTTGAGGTCACCGGGTATTTCGGTTCGACTCACCATGCTGCGTCGTACAGAAATCACAAAGAAAATAGTCAGCCACCCAGTTGCTCCGCGCGACCCAAAGGTTACGGGTACTCTCAGTTACAGATCAAATGTCATCAATAAAAAACGTGCGTTCGCTTCGCTCGTCCTCTTGATAAAAAAAGCTCGCTTTGCTCGCGTGCTTGATTGCAAGATGAACTAAATGTAGTTTGAACATAAAAACGTTCCAACGATTCCATATAGCATCCAATCTCAAACATGCTGAGAAAATTTTTTATTAAGTGGAAGATTACCACTATATCTAAATCTTACAACAGCTTCCGGAGGTAGAGGTTTAGAAAGTTTGTTTTGCTCGCTCTGAACTTCTTCAAATTTTAAAATCGCCCAAATTCCCTTCCTTTTCTGACCACTCAAAATCTCTTCCTTTAGTTTTTCCTCCCTCCTTTCGACTGCTCAAAATCCCTCCCTTTAGTTTTCCCTTCCTCTTTTTGACCAAAGAAAATCCCTCCCTTTAATTTTCCCTCCCTCTTTTTGACCCTGGCCTATTCAGCATGATGACTGATCATGAAGATATCTTACCGGGCTACTGGAAACGTTTTCCGTTACATTTTGCACATTTTATTCTGTGCTCCCCGCGTTAGACTGTCCTGCGCCGTCTTTCAAAAATAAAATAATCAGATTCATTTTGAAGCGAATTTTACAATAATTATAAAACCAATGAATTTTCACAATTATTTTCAAATATTTCGCTGTAAAGTATTCGATGAAATATCAGTATTTAATGAAACAGCGGTAAAAAAATGAGCAAGCATTCGATCCAATTCTAAATCTACAGTAATACAGTTATTTAAATATTAATAAAAGTTATTAGTTTTGCAGACGGAAATGCATTTAAAATGAAATTTCCAGCTTAAAAGTTATTTTTTTTAAAATTTGATTTCTCAGTATTTTTTCAGTAGTAAACAAAGACACCAAATGAAATAAATATTAATAATATGTGAAACAGCGTTTATCGGCAGCAACAATCTTTGACATGCGTTACTTAATAAAATGGTATTTAATTGTACAGAATTTCCCACCTGGAATGATTGAACTGGTAATGTGTGTGTTGCAGTTGGTGGAGGTGTTAGCCTCGGATGATGTCGCGGTGTTCAGTGAGGATCAAGTGCTGCAGGCGTTGCTGCGCTGGCTGGATCACGACCGCGACAGACGCCTCGCGCAGCTCCACACCGTCCTGCAGGTGGTCCGCGTTCCCTTCCTCAGCGAGCCGGCCGCGATGGAGTACGCGCTGGCTCTGGCCAGTGCGCCGGCGCCGAGTGAATGCCAGTCGGGAATGGTCGGGCGGATTACACTGGCCGGCGGGACAGCGCGCCACGCCACACCTCGCGATTCGTACGGTAAGCGGCACGTGTGCTGTATTATTTCTCCTTTTTTTTGGTTTCCTTTTTCAATATTTTCCTTTGCAGTAGTATTGCCTTATTAATTTTTATAATAATTTTCCTTTTCAATTTTCCTTTGTACTAATTTTCCTTTAATAATTTTCCTTTTTATTAGTTTTCCTTTAATTAATTTCCCTTCGTATTTATTTTCCTATGGAATTTCGATTAAGTTTTAAGCAGCGGAATCAAGTTCCAGTTTTTTACACGATTTAAGTGAATAGAGTTAAGTGTGAAGGAAACTAAATTACTCGTATTTTCTAATTATGTAATGGACTTTTAGTTAAGATTTAAATACCGGCATCTAGATTAAGTTTTACTTAGTCAGGTAATGGACATTGAATTGAGATTTAGGTAATGGAAGTTACTCAATTTAATTTACATTTGTAATTGAATTTAATTAAAGTAAAATGTTGTTTGTAATGGAATTAATTGACAGAGCAATGGAATTTTATTTTAGTTTCATTTTATAGAATTCATTTTCTCAATCAGCTGAATGTCTTTCGGCCGATATCGGCTTTGTGTGGCAGGCTTGTACGTAGCTGTGCTCTCAAGCATTAATTTTTGGTAGAGAATTTAATTGTTGATGGGTGTCAGGAGCGCGGGACGTGATCCTTTGTATCGGCGGTCACTTTGATGGAGATCTGGACGAGGTGGGCGTGTCCGACACCGTCGAGGTGTTCTGCCCATCGATGCCGTCGGTGTGGCGTCTGCCGGCGCTGCCGGGGTTCGTCAACGGCTGCCAGGCCGTGATGCTGGACGCCAGCGGCATGCTGGTCGCCGGCCATAGCGGCGTTAATCGTCTTCAGCGGGACCGCCACTACCTGGGCCTGCGGGACGAATGGGAAGCGTTGGCCGTCATGCGGATGCCGCGCTGTAACGCGGGGCTGGCGGTCCTCCAGGGGCGCGTGTACGCGGCCGGCGGCTGCAGTCGGGCGGACCGTCTGGAGGTGCTGGCGTCCGTGGAGGTGTACGACGCCCAGAAAGACTCGTGGAGCACCGCGGCCCCGCTCCCGGTGGCGCTGGAGGGGATGGGGATGGTTGCCTGGGGGGAGCGACTGTTCGTGTTTGGCGGAAAGGACGAGGAGGAGGGCATTGTGCCGTGGGCCTTTTCCTACGATCCCCAGGCGAATGCCTGGACCCGGCTGCCCGATATGCCCACGCCGCGCTACGGCTGTGCTGTCTGCGTGGCGCCCAGTGGACTGGTCTTCGTTTTCGGTACGTGACACTGACGCTCTCTAGGACATAATAATTTTATTTGCATATATAAATATTGGTTAATTAATAATTACGAGTAAATTAATCTAAATAATAAGTTAAAAGGAAATTAAATAAATCTAAATAATTATTAATATGTAATATCTGTATTAATATTAGTGAGAGCAGTAAGGACAGCATTTATCATTGTGATTATTATTATTATTACTGCTAGTTTTACTGCGAGCAGTTCGGACAGCATGCCATGGTAACGGTCAAATGGCCAGATCAGGAAACACGGCTCGTTAGCGTTCGGATAACTCCCGCATGCGTCCGACGTGCAGACTTGCGTGCCCACTGAATAACCGCGATACGTGTGCATTGTGCAGGGGGGGATCTGGCGGGCCAGTACGGATCGGTGTGTGTGGAGGCCTACGACCCCGACCGCCAGCTGTGGCAGCGAAAAGGTGGGTGGGCTTCCCGTATGTTCAGAGTGGTCGGCACATATACGTTCAGTAACGGTTGTGTCTCGCCGCAGGATTTCTGTGCCGCGAGCGCGCTCACTGCGGATGCGCCGGTGTCGATAGTCAGTTGTTTGTGCTCGGTGGAATGCCCGGCGCCGCGGGGCAGGTGCACGACAGCATCGAATTCTACGACGCTGATGCGGATCGTTGGGAGCTGCATGAATGCCGGCTGCCGCAAGCCAAGCATTCCTTCGGCTGTGTGGTGGGGAAACTGAAGCCAGCCTGAAGAATTGATTAGCTGAACTGGTTTGCGTTGCGCGCAGTGGTAAAGTTGTATTTGACAGTTGACCATTTTGTATTGCCGGTTTGATTTTTGATCTGGTTTGGATTTAGATTTTATAGGCGGCGTGTGTCGCTCTCCGAAATGCTCCTATGGTTCCCGGGTAGAGTTTACAATATGTGTCAATATACAGAGGGTTATTCAGCCAAGTGTGGTCACTTTTTGGAAAATTTCTGCTTAGCCGCTGCAGGCTCATTTTACTTTTTTAAAAATTTTATCAAATAGCCACAACATTCAATCACATTTTGAATTCAACCGAGCCAAGATTTCGTTATCCTGTAGCCCAGGAAAAATTCAGTTTATCCCCACCATGTTGGCAACAGTTGACCAGTTCAGCTATAGGAAATGGATTCCTTTACTCAAAATTAATTTAAAATTTGGTTTTCGCCATAATCGACTGGAAACCTGTCATGGGTTTCGAACAAACCTTTTCAGAAGGAATTACCAGTTTTTTTCGATCAGGAAGCAACATCCTTGTTTTTCTCAGCAGTGCTCCCGGGAGCACATCTCTGGTTCTGGATGACTTCTTCCTCTCTGCCAGGCTTAATCCGTGGAGCGTCTTTTTCGACCAATGAACATTGTAAATTGTGAAGGAAGACCTGCGTTACAACTTTAGTTTGTGGAGGAACGAAAAGGATAGCCATAGCTCCGTGAGTAACAATTCGCACATTGAGCATGGCTCTTGCGAGTGTCTTCCTGTTTTCGCGTTTTTCCAGCCGTCCTACCGCAAGAACGCGCAAGAATATGGAATCGTTTTTGCTATAAAAAATATTCGGATCGTCGTTTTTCACAATTAAAACCATCCAGATTTGAAAAGCAGACGATCCTTTTAAGGCCAGATCATCGAAAGCCAAATTTTGCCTGGTCAAAGGTTTAGAGTCGGAGTCTTTAGGTCAGTAGCCAATATTGCGGGCTGTTTAAACCCGATTGTCACAAAAACTTGCAAAAAGCATCAAAACTAATTTGCCATAATAAAACAATTATTAGAATCTGACTCTGCGCAACGGCTGAATTATAGGAATTTTTTTAATGCGCTGACCACACTTGGCTGAATAACCCTCTGTATATTGAGGTTTTGTGTAGTTTTAAAAGTATATGTTTTTCTATATATTTTCAATGTTTATATTCAGGTATTTTTTATATGGGAAATGAAGTGTCTGAGAAGGAAAAGGAAAGATTGTATGTCGTGTTTTCTTTTCTGCATACACTGCACCAATTCATGGTCCGCTTTTTTATAATTTGCATTTCAAGGGGGCGCCTGTCATCTTATACAGTTGACATATTAATTATACAGTCATATTATACAGAACTTGATACGTTTTTCTTTCAAACTACTGTATATGAATGAATTTCGCAGAAATTATTTAAATGAATTTCTGTTGCGTACAACTCCAAAGCAGAAATGGTACAGCTGATAAAGAATGGGGGAAAAGGAGAGAAAAAATGGAAAGGGAAATGGGGATGGGAAACTGAGAAATGGGGCAGTTCTGGTTGATTTCGACCACAATATATGCGAAAGGTATGCAATGTCGGCGCTGAGCTAAATCAACTAGGTAATTAAGTACCGTAAATGCTACGGGTAGACGAGCGACTTTGCAGCGGTTCGCTGCTTGTCAGCAGCGCCATTTCGGTGTTTCGTTGTCAGCAACAGAGAACCGTAGAATACCGGCTCTGTTCGCTGTCGACTTCGGTGCTTATGTTTTCGGTAAACTGTTCAACAATAATCGTTAAGAATTTGTTAGATTTTTTTTCCAGACTTGTACTGATCTTCTGCGAACATGCATAGGTGAGGTACTGGCCAGTCTACGGTTCATTTGCATGGCTGCATTATCTAGCGACATTTTTTAGCGCAAACGCCGGATGCGGTACAAAATGTTGCACCGAGTTGAGTTCAGTTTGATCGCATTCCCAAGGCATGCTGCCGCTAGATAAGATTGGTACATCAAGTATTAATCTATTTTGTCAAAATAATGAGATGTATAGATATAAACATATTACGTGTGTTACGTGTAATACATACATTATATCTATACACATGTTTATATTATTATTATTATTATTACATCAGGAGCAGACAACCCGCTAACGGGACTTCAACGTCTGGTCGGCACAAGACTAAACACATAAGAAAACAATTTCTAAGACAGATCAACAGTTCGGAGAGCAAATTTGAAAAAACCCACGCCATCAACACTGAGTAACTGCATGTTAACTTTTTGTATGCGCTCAAAGATGTTCTTTAGTCGCATGGCCATACATACATATACATACATAGATAGGATATACGATACACATACGATACGATATACATACATTATACATAGACAGACATGTATTTACATAGACAGGTGTATGTATGTATAGATATAATGTTTGTATAGATATATGTATAGATATAATGTATGTATACGTGTACGTATATATACATGTAAGCATGTATACTAACAATTGTAAGTGTTTACATGCAGGCCTGTATATATGTACGTATACATGCTTCTACACGTACAGTGGCGCAGTAAACTGCGCTTGTTCTTTTAAGGATACCGTAAATGAAATGCTCTCCCGTCGTCGTGCAATAGAAGCCAAACTGGTGAACGGTCCTTTCACTTATCATGCGGATCATCGCGTGAGTAGCGTGATTACGCAGGTTTCAATCGATTTCCGATAGCGACTTCTGTCGGTCCATCCTGTAAGAAACTAGGAATCATCAGCTGGGATGCTTTGTCTTCATTTGTATCCCGCATCTGCGCTTGTGGAACAAGCCGCACTGGCTGTACGTACACGCATAAAGTGACGAGTACGCAAGCTCCACGCACACTGCAAAGAAAAAGAATCATTGATGATTATCGATTTAACTGGAAATCATACGGGCTGAAGGCAACGTGCTGGGCGTAAGGAAGAACTAGATCCGAGGCTTTGCAGCGGCTGTACCCGCAAGACTGCCCCATATGGTCTTACCAACAATCCCGTGTGGCGAATTTAAGGGATTTCAGACTGTTCAGCGGACACTTTCTTATTGTGATTACAACCGGAAACGAAAGCAGACTAGCTCTGTTTTCAGTTTTCCGTTTACGACTTTAATTCGGCTCTAATGGGGAAATTCGGCCTGACATTCGCGGCTATCCTTAACCGCGACCAGACCTGGGCCTACCATGAGATCATTACGGAGGCCCTGTTCGTGTTGTGGACCGGATGCCATTTGTCCTTGAAGTTCGGTACGCGCTTCTTCCCGGAATGGGAGACAACGCGCATCGACCCGGACAGCTACACCAGCCTCGATCTTCTCCTGTGGCAACTGCTGGGTCAGGTGGGCTTATGTATTTCTGATATTTAAAGGTTACGCATAGAAGAAAAAATGAATGCTGCAATTCTGTTTTGCTCTCTTCTGTGAAAATAAAAGAAAATACAAGAAAATCAATAATGGTACAGTAGTACACAATGTTACAGTGCACACTGCGGTACATGCTTTTCCCTTGATGTGTAATTGTATGTCGATTTTGGAGAAATTACACTAACCAGGGACTTCCCAGTTGTCAAGCACAGTAAATGAATAGCGGGTGCGACAGTCCATGCCAGCACTGCTTAATTTCAAATTGCCAAAAAGTTATTGCTATCTTATTCATAGCACTGCAGTAGTGCACTGTAATTGTATGCGCTATGCAGTATCCGGTAATCATTTGTTCTGCCATGCTGTGCTGACCTTTGCAGATCGAAATCACTTTTTATCTGCATTCAAATACTGTTGCACCCTAATACAAAAATAAACGTGTTCTGCATTTTGACTCGGAAAAATGTGCCCTGGTTTGAGAATTATTTTAGGCAGCAGCTCAACGAGGTTTTAGCAGTGGATTTTACTGCGGTTTTATTTTATTTTTCTTTGGGCATATTTAACTGATGAGTGCAATCTTGTTATCCAGTTTCACTATGCATTTTTAATTCTGTCGGATCTTGTTGTAATTTTTGTTGTCCCCGTCGATAGGATATGACTGGCTGTATGTGGGATGACGTCGTCTCCCCGTGGAAGCCTTCCACGCCGCAAACGCCCTCTAATGCGGTTATGACAAGCACCTGGCGCGGTACTGCCGGCTACGTGGGAGCCGTCGCGGTCGTCGTCCTGACCGTGCTTCTCGGCGTCTCCGTTCTGTGTTCGGCGTGGGTCAACCGTCACTGGAGATTTTCCCGCTGGACACAACACTTTCGCCACTGTCGGCGTATCACGACCTGGTTCGGCTATAACACGACCTTTAACGGTGACGAAAGCGACTGGCCTGCGTACGGTGCTACCGGTTGGCGCTTCTGGGCTCTTTGGTGCCTTCTGAGCTTGACCGGTATGACCGTGTTCGCCGGGTTGTGGCTGGTCTGCTGCGCTCTACCGGTGGTCATTGCGGCGGGACTGACGGTGGCCTGGATCGGCCGACACGTCGGGGAAGAGGCCGTGTTTCCGGCGACGGTGGTGTGCTTCGGTCTACTGGCCGTGCACTGCACCGGTCGGATCTGGGGATTCTGGATGAACACGACGTATTTTATGCAGCTCCATGAGAAAATCAGGTACTTGATGTTTCCTCGAAAATAAAATAAAAAAGTTTCCATCGGAACTGGCAGCCGACCAAAAATAGGTCCAAAATTTTTTCTTGGACAAAAGCAACTTTAAATTGTGTGAAATGCGTTAATCAGCAAGAAAGACTCTTTTGTTATGCTGAATAATACCTTGCTTTCTTCAAATACGCTCAAAATAATCCCTGTTCTGAAAATTTAGCCGTGAAGCTTATTTTCTCCCGCAGGAATGCCACGGGAATCCGTTTTCTCGTGCAGCCGTTGGCGGCTGACCAGAGGAGAGACACTGCACACACATGGGACGCAGCGACCGATGAATCGTTGTTCGTGCAGCGCGCGAGATGGGGCCGCACCTTCCTCTTGTTAGTGTTTCCGGCGTGGTTGGCTCTGTGCAACCACAGCATGCTCGTGCTGCATGAGCTGCCGTTCCCGGTCGGCTGGATGGATCCCTTCTTGCATCCGTCAAGGGCTCTCTTGGCATTACCTGACGATTTCTCCAGCGAATCGGTATCCGCCGCGGGAATCGACTGGACAACCCCCAACTGCACCGATTGTTGTGACAACTACGCAACGGTAAGAAACCTTTAACAAGCTGCCTTAGTACGTTTAATGGAATATGGATGTTTTAATGTTTCCGTTTCCAGTAGTAGTCTTTGTTCAAAACTCAAATGTTTTCTTAGGGAATGGACCAATCGCGAGCGATGATGTCGTATTACGTAGATCTGAAATATCCCCGTGGGCCAACAACCAATCCGGCCATCGTGACGCTGCTCAACACGGTCTTCTCGCCGGTGACCGAACGCTTCTATTGCGTATGGATGACGACCGTTGCGTGGGCGGTCGGGCTCCCGTTGATTGCCGCTGGAACGGCGGGAGCAGTAATTATGGCGGGATGTTGTGGCTCGTTTGTCTTCCGCGGACTAACCAAGTAAGTGGGTACTTCAACGCATCCGGTAGGCGACCGTAAATTTTACCCGCGTTTTTTTTATGTTGTTCGTAAGAGAAATGGTCCGGTATATGGTGCCAAAAATGGGATACGTACACTAAAACTTTCGCCGGTAATAACCAGACTTTTGGTACACGGAAATGCATTTAACGATAAATTTATACCCATTTTGGAACGCCATATCTTGGCAACCGGATGCTGCGCGCGCAAACGGTTTTCAGAACAATATATACAAATCATTTAGCTTCAGAATGACATAAAGTATTACAAAACAAGTAATTCGGAGTGCGCGAAAACGAAAGTTTTAGTGTATGTGTCCTATTTTTAAAGCTATGTATGTACCGGGCCGATTTCCCTAAGGTATACGTAAACGTTACAAGCAAGCAGTACTTCGATTCCCAGCGCGTGTTCTAATATCCTTTTTTTATTAGGATACTGAAGATTCTCAGTAACGCGGACGACCTCAACGAGACGAAAACAGATCCTGAGGAATGCGCGATCGAGGCCAAGAAGAAACCGTTCTGTGTGTGCGCTTTGTGGGTGGGCTTCGAACGGTACATCCTGGTGGTGATTTCTCGTTTTATCATCTGGTTGTTTATCCCGTTCCCGCTGCTGGAACTGATGCTGCCGGAGCAGTGGCTGTTGCCGGCTTGGATGCTACTGCTGAGTGTTGTCGAAGTGGGCCTCTGGTGGTGGGCGTGGAACTCCCTCTGTAGCGGCGGCCGCGAACGGCGCACTGCCTATGGTCGAGCGAAGGCTGCACCGGAAGATGATGATGCACCACTGTTGACCGTGTAGTACTGGCTTCGCATAAGCTTGCCCTTTTAACTGTTCCTTCCCTGGCTCTGTTCCATCGACCATACATCATGGACCGACTGTATTTCACAAAAAAACTTTCAAAATGTATTTGCAAAATGCAAGCGGTCCCATCTGAATCGTCGTACAGATCTCGGTACACCAATACACAACTAATATAGTTCTGCATACACGTACGGTATGTGCTGCGCTCGTTCCAGCAACATATTTAGCAAGGAGATTTACGCTCCTGAAATCATCTAGTGGCCTCGCGAATGATTAGCAGTGTGAAAAGTAACGTTTTTATTCGCCTTCCATTTCTCTAATTTTTGGGTGGGTGAGGAACTTACTCTTAAAAAAAAAGTTGGTTTTTCTTCTTGTTCTACTTCTTCAGTTGGTCCATACGCTGGCTTTTGTTGAAAACAGGCAGCAACAATTAATGAGCAATGCACCTTTGCTGGTCTTTTGAGTGAGGCGATCATGATACTGTAAGCTCTCACAAATCGAATAGAGCCATGGCATTTCTATCTTCTCATGTGCGATACGGCACGTTCACTAGATTATGCCGATACCGCAAAAGCTGGAGGCTGCACGGCGCTAAAATCCTGGAGCTGCCGTACGTGGGAGATCATTGCAACGCCTATTTCATCCTCCCTGGCAAGAGACACTGGTTCTCATGCTCACTGCGCAAAGACAGACTACGCCATGTGGAAAAGTTGTTGACACCCGCAATTTTACTCCAGGAAATCGAGAAAATGGACTTCCCACACGCTATAACTGTGGAGATACCGAAATTCTCCTTGAAAAGCACCGTGGCGGTCGAGAAAGTCCTTGCGCAGATGGGTATGCCGACCGCGTTTTCCGACGAGGCTGACCTGTCCGGAATCAGCACACAGTCGCCATTGAAGATTTCTACTGTCATGCACACAGCCGTTTACGGTGAGCAAGGTCATATTTCCTATGGGCTTCTTAGAACTTACATTTTCCAGTATCGAGGGAAAATTTTCCTGACAAATTGTTTCCAGAATTCAAAGGGTGCGGCGATGGGGCTCAGTTGGGACAGAAGGCAGACCCGAAAATCGCTGATAAGTCGGGTAAGGAACGGAGCCTGCAACACAGTCAACACGCTCAACAGTGATCAGCGGGCATAGCTCATACACGGGATCGCAATGTAGCAGCATTAACAGCTAGCAGCTCGTCACTCGTATAATGGCCAGGTTGCTGCGGGTCGCCACATCGCTAGCGCAAGTCAGAAAATCAGCTCATCGTTAAGGGCTGAATGGCGGCGGACGGTGCACTTACCTGCTCAGAAGATAATTCACGGGCCGTAAGTGGCCTGTTGATGCGGGCAACACTAGTCAGCGGATAAATATCACAACACAACCGTCACTCCGTTTCTCATCGTTCTTATACCATACGCACAAAACAAATCGAATCAGGTTTGTTTGTTATAATAGTTACAGCGCGGAAACCCTGGCGTTAGCTGTAAAAATGAAACAGCGAAGAACTCACGGCGCTGCATATGCAAATTATCGCCGCATGGCGTGCTTGCATGAGACAGAGAGAGACAGAGGAGAGTGGGAAAGCGTGCGTGTGTGTGTGTGCCTGTCTGTTGCTATGGCGGCTAAGCGAGCGCACATGCTGCGTGCTGGACGGCGGCTCCAGTGTATCGCTGGTACACGTGCTGTGCGAATCTCAAGGAGACTCGCAGCGCAGCTGCAGCTGTCTGTGCAGGTGAGCACGCGTGCAGCACGACTGCACAGCTGCGACGGGAGTGTATCGCTCATGCATCTGCTGTGCAGACCTCAAGCAGGTTTGCACCCCAGATGCATTCGGTATAGGGGTGTCGCCCCTGGAAGGGGCGTTTCACAGCACACCAGAATGATCAGTATTCATCAAGCGTGGCATTTAAGCTGCTATGTCTAGACTTCCGGCCCCGACTTTTCTTGCAGCTCAAGCCGTGGTAACCTCGAGCGTCCACCCATTCATTGCAGACACATCGGTGCGGAGTTACGATCGGTGTACCCAGGCGCAGGCCAACAGCAATTCGAAGTGCGGAATCGTTTAAAAGGTTCCCCAGGGATGCAGCTGGTAGAGCATCTAGCCACGCTCCGTTGTCCTTGGTGCTTACACCTAGAAGCCGGGCTTGGCTGGAAATGTCTGACTAGGCCATTTCAGACAGCGTTTCCACGGCAATTTGTATGACTGGTTCATCCCACACTTTCTGAAATTTTCGGGCTTCAACGGCTGGAAGGTCGACTTCCGTCATACGTTGCCACTCAGCTTTGGCGTCGTCGCAGTACACTTCCGGGTCGAAGTCGGTAATTTTGGTTACTAGCCGGGTCACTGAATCAGCCGAGGCCAAAAAGGCCGGAAGGGCAAGCTTTTCAAGACTCCGGATTCCGAGACCTCCCTCTGCAACAGGAAGTGATGCCTAAGTCCAGTTTATTTCGGTGAGGCTAACGTTTGTGATTGCTGATAGGCATTCACGAATCATGGTGTCAAATTCAGTCAGCAGTCCTTTTTGGAGGTAACACCGAGCAGTGCGTAATTTATAGCTCATACATTATATCTATACACATATTTATACATACATATACATACATAGAAAGGATATACGATACACATACGATACGATATACATAAATTATACATAGACATACATGTATTTACATAGACAGATGTATGTATGTATAGATATAATGTTTGTATAGATATATGTATAGATATAATGTATGTATACGTGTACGTATATATACATGTAAGCATGTATACTAACAATTGTAAGTGTTTACATGCAAGCCTGTATACATGTACGTATACATGCTTCTACACGTACAGTGGCGCAGTAAACTGCGCTTGTTCTTTTAAGGATACCGTAAATGAAATGCTCTCCCGTTGTCGTGCAATAGAAGCCAAACTGGTGATCGGTCCTTTCACTTATCACGCGGATCATCGCGTGAGTAGCGTGATTACGCAGGTTTCAATCGATTTCCGATAGCGACTTCTGTCGGTCCATCCCGTAAGAAACTAGGAAGCATCAGCTGGGAAGCTTTGTCTTCCGTTGTGTTTTGTATCCCGCATCCGCGCTTGTGGAACAAGCCGCACTGGCTGTATGTACACGCATAAAGTGACGAGTACGCGAGCTCCACGCACACTGCAAAGAAAAAGAATCATTGATGATTATTGATTTAACTGGCAATCATATGGGCTGAAGGCAACGTGCTGGGCGTAAGGAAGAACTGGATCCGAGGCTTTGCAGCGGCTGTACCCGCAAGACTGCCCCATATGGTCTTCCCAACAATCCCGTGTGGCGAATTTAAGGGATTTCAGACTGTTCTGTGGACACTTTCTAACTGTGATTACAACCGGAAACGAAAGCAGACTAGCTCTGTTTTCAGTTTTCCGTTTACGACTTTAATTCGGCTCTAATGGGGAAATTCGGCCTGACATTCGCGGCTATCCTTAACCGCGACCAGACCTGGGCCTACCATGAGATCATTACGGAGGCCCTGTTCGTGTTGTGGACCGGATGCCATTTGTCCTTGAAGTTCGGTACGCGCTTCTTCCCGGAATGGGAGACAACGCGCATCGACCCGGACAGCTACACCAGCCTCGATCTTCTCCTGTGGCAACTGCTGGGTCAGGTGGGCTTATGTATTTCTGATATTTAAAGGTTACGCATAGAAGAAAAAATGAATGCTTCGATTCTGTTTTGCTCGCTTCTGTGAGTGGCAACTCACCAAAGCATATTTTTCAGCTCAAATGCTTTAGATAACAAGTTGGATACTGCTATAGTGTACCTCATAATATAATTCAATCTTGCGAAGGTCAATACAAAAAATCAATAATTCTACACTCTGTACAGTAGTACACACTGTTACAGTGCAGAGTGCGGTGCATGTTTTCTCCACAATATGTAATTGTAAGTCGATTTTGGAGAAATTACAATAATCTCGGACTTCCCAGTTGTCAAGCACAGTACATGAATAGCGGGTGCGACAGTCCATGCCAGCACTGCTTAATTTTAAATGCCAAAAAGTTGTTGCTAACTTATTGTTAGCACTGCAGTAGTGCACTGTAATTAAGTATGTGCACTGTATAGTATCAGGTAATCAGTTGCTCTGCCATGCTCTGCTGCCCTTTGCATATGAAATCACTTTTCATTTATAATCAGATAGTGTTGCACCCTACTACAAAAATAAACGTTTTCTGCATTTTGGACCCGGAAAAATGTGCCCTGGTTTGAGAAGTTTTTAAGGCAGCACCTCACCGGGGTTTTATTTTATTTTTCTCTTGGCATATTTAATTGATGAATGCAATCTTGTTTCTCAAATTGACTATGCATTTTTACATCTGTCAGATCTTATTGTAATTTGTTGTTATTCCCGTTGATAGGATATAACTGGATGTATGTGGGATGACGTCGTCTCCCCGTGGAAGCCTTCCACGCCGCAAACGCCCTCTAATGCGGTTATGACAAGCACCTGGCGCGGTACTGCCGGCTACGTGGGAGCCGTCGCGGTCGTCGTCCTGACCGTGCTTCTCGGCGTCTCCGTTCTGTGTTCGGCGTGGGTCAACCGTCACTGGAGATTTTCCCGCTGGACACAACACTTTCGCCACTGTCGGCGTATCACGACCTGGTTCGGCTATAACACGACCTTTAACGGTGACGAAAGCGACTGGCCTGCGTACGGTGCTACCGGTTGGCGCTTCTGGGCTCTTTGGTGCCTTCTGAGCTTGACCGGTATGACCGTGTTCGCCGGGTTGTGGCTGGTCTGCTGCGCTCTACCGGTGGTCATTGCGGCGGGACTGACGGTGGCCTGGATCGGCCGACACGTCGGGGAAGAGGCCGTGTTTCCGGCGACGGTGGTGTGCTTCGGTCTGCTGGCTGTCCATTGCACCGGCCGGATCTGGGGATTCGGGATGAACGAGACGTATTTCACGCAGCTGCACGAGAAAATCAGGTACTCGGTTTTCTCCGAATGAAAAAAACCTTTTCAGCATATTAAAACGATGCTCTTAAAGCATCTCAACTGGAACTGCTTACTCAGTGCTGCCAGATGAGCCAACAGCAGTTTAGGTTGGAAAAGGATGCGAGGTCACGAAGCACCTATGATTACGATTATCAGAATCGAGAAACACCAGTTTCGCGTTAATCAGCAAGAAAGACGTTTTTGTTATGCTGAATAATACCTTGCTTTCTTCAAATACGCTCAAAATAATCCCTGTTCTGAAAATTTAGCCGTGAAGCTTATTTTCTCCCGCAGGAATGCCACGGGAATCCGTTTTCTCGTGCAGCCGTTGGCGGCTGACCAGAGGAGAGACACTGCACACACATGGGACGCAGCGACCGATGAATCGTTGTTCGTGCAGCGCGCGAGATGGGGCCGCACCTTCCTCTTGTTAGTGTTTCCGGCGTGGTTGGCTCTGTGCAACCACAGCATGCTCGTGCTGCATGAGCTGCCGTTCCCGGTCGGCTGGATGGATCCCTTCTTGCATCCGTCAAGGGCTCTCTTGGCATTACCTGACGATTTCTCCAGCGAATCGGTATCCGCCGCGGGAATCGACTGGACAACCCCCAACTGCACCGATTGCTGTGACAACTACGCAACGGTATGAACACTTTAACAAGCTGCCTTAGTACGTTTAATGGAATATGGATCAGACACGTTTTAATGTTTCCGTTTCCAATGGTAGTCTTTGCTCAAAACTCACATGTTTTCTTAGGGAATGGACCAATCGAGAGCGATGATGTCGTACTACGTTGATCTGAAATATCCCCGTGGGCCAACAAGCAATCCGGCCATGGTGACGCTGTTCAACACGGTCTTCTCGCCGCTGACGGAACGCTTCTATTGCGTGTGGATGACGATCGTTGCGTGGGCGGTCGGGCTCCCGTTGATTGCCACTGGAACGGCGGGAGCAGTAATTATGGCGGGATGTTGTGGCTCGTTTGTCTTCCGCGGACTTATCAAGTAAGTGGATACTTCAACGCATCTAGTAAGCGACCGTAAATTTTACCCGCGCTGTTTTTATGTAGTTCTTAAGAGAAATGGTCCGGTATATGGTGCCAAAAATGGGATACGTACACTAAAACTTTCGCCGGTTAATAACCAGACTTTTGGTACACGGCAATGCATTTAAACTTATACCCATTTTAGAGCGCCATATCTTGGCAACCGGATGCTGCGCGCGCAAACGGTTTTCAGAACAATGTATACAAATCATTTAGCTTTAGAATGACATAAAGTATTACAAAAAAAGTAATTTGGAGTGCGCGAAAACGAAAGTTTTAGTGTATGTATCCCAGTTTTAAAGCTATGTACTGGGCCGTTTTCCTTAATGTATACGTAAACGTTTCAAGCACGCAGTACTTCGATTCCCAGCGCGTTTTCTAATATCCTTTTTTTATTAGGATACTGAAGATTCTCAGTAACGCGGACGACCTCAACAAGACGAAAACGGAACCAGAGGAATGCGCGATCGAGGCCAAGAAACCGTTCTGCGTGTGCGCTTTGTGGGTGGTCTTCGAACGGTACATCCTGGTGGTGTTTTCTCGTTTTATCATCTGGTTGTTTATCCCGTTCCCGCTGCTGGAGCTGATGCTGCCGGAGCAGTGGCTGTTGCCGGCTTGGCTGCTACTGCTGAGTGTTGTCGAAGTGGGCTTCTGGTGGTGGGTGTGGAACTCCCTCTGTAGCGGCTGCCGTGAACGGCGCACAGGCTATGGCCGAGTGAAGACCGCAGCGGAAGATGATGATGCACCACTGTTGACAATGTAGTACTTGCTTCCCATAAGCTTGCCATTTTAACTGTTTCTTCCTTGGCTCTGGTTCCATCGACCATCATGGACCGACTGTATTTCACAAAAAAACTTCCAAAATGTATTTGCAAAATGCAGGCGGTCTCATCTGAATCGTCGTATAGATCTGTACACCAATACACAACTAATACAGTTCTGCAGACACGTACCTACGGTATGTGCTGTGCTTGTTCCAGCAGCATATTTAGCAAGGAGATTTACGCTCCTGAAATCACCTAGTGGCCTCGCGGATGGTTAGCACCTTTACTGGTCTTTTGAGTGAGGCGATCATGATACTGTAAGCTCTCACAAATCGAATAGAGCCATGGCATTTCGACCTTCCCATGTGCGATATCAACGTGACAACGAGAATCCGAAATGCGCAGCGTTTGCCGCGCTAACACTGCAACTTGTATGCAGTGGTACTGGCTAAACATTAAAATAAGCCATCAAAGATCATCGATGATAACGACGATCGATCAAAGGCCATCGATGATTTAGGTAAGCTTGTTTATTGATTCAAGTAATTCGTTTTTTGATTTGAATGAGCGTAATTGCTGCTCGTATTCCAACCCAGGGCTAACCGCTAATAGCGGCTAGCCCTAGCGGGCCGCTATTATTGCAATGATGCTACAAACGATGGGCCTTACGCCACCGCCAACAGCACTAGGGGTACAGCAGCACTAGCTTAGTACAAACGGCTGACTGCATAACATTAACCCGGCCAAACAGCAGCAAATGTTCATAGTTCATACATGTTACACAACTACAGACACCCTTTTACAATTTACAGATAATTCATATAGTTATGGGGACTAAGCAGAGCTCGTTTTTTATGTGCTCCTTTCCCTGTAATGCTACGCCGATTGTGCTACGCATTTTTATGGCTTTCTTCGCCACTAGCCTAAACAGAAGGAGCAGAAGCAGCCCTACATCCGCTAGATCGACTGGGCGTAAGCCCAAAATAAAGACAGCATGGACACACATAATTTTACAATCATCAGTACTGTGAATACCGTACACTGCACTTGCAGTAGTTTACTCATGCACTCGTGCTTGCACTTATGCTCCACATGCCTTTGAATAGTTGCATGCGGCAGAAACACTGCATACAGTGCTTTATCGATTCTTTTGAAACCTTGACTGCAACTCTTTAGTGCGCAGCTGATTTAACACGATCCCATGTGATATGTTCTTATATTTCTTTATTAAATAATATAGTATGTCAGTTTGCGTATTACTTTTGTGAATTTCAGAACTATATTAATACATTATGGCATGCGAAGATCTGTTATTTAGGAATCGTCTGCGCTTCTCTTTTGCTCTGTACAAAACAATGCTGGCTCATCTTTCCAGGAAAGATAATTTGCTGGTATCACCATTCTCTGCAGAATTGGCCGCTGTTGCGGCATACATTGGAGCGCAGGAAAAAACACGCGGTGAAATAGCGGACGTGTTAGGCTCGACAGCAGATTACACAGTCGAGGACATTGCTGACTGTTTAACGCAAATTAGCCGCGATGAAGCCCGAGGGATCACGTTTCTCTGCGATGAAATTGAAGGCAGAGGGTTCATGTACATCCACGATGACCCTAAACAGATCACGGAAGTCTTCGATGAAATCACAAAGATCGCGTTCAAACCAGAAAGTAAGATACGACAGCGAAAGCGCGCGAACTTTCTGGATTCGCCATAAACCATAACTCATGAGTTGTAGGTATAAAAAATCTCTAGTTTTTAGTTTTCATGCATTGCTTCTGCCGATCATTTATTCGACTGATTATAGCATCTCAGTTTTTCAGAGTGGATCAAAAACTTTGAATTGTCATCCCGCTTGGGGATTTTTGTCGAAACAAGTCTTCCTGTGAACGAACGTTACGTCGAACGCGCACAGAGTCTCGTCAAAGCAGATTGCTTCCCGGTGAAATTTTCAAGTGATCCCGATAGTGCTTGGGAAAATGTGAGAAACTTTGTAACGGCGCCAACGAAGGGAAAAGTGCCAAAAATGGGTTATCCAGAATCCCGTCGGCTTTTAATTTAGCATTCGCGACTACTGCTCATCTTCAGTCTAACTGGGCGAAGCATTTTCCTGGGCACCAGACCACCAAGAAATGGTTCACCCTGGCTACGGGTGCCAAGATCCAGGGGGACACCATGCACGGAACCTTCACGCGATTATGCCGATATCGCAAAAGCTGGAGGCTGCACGGCGCTAAAATCCTGGAGCTGCCGTACGTGGGAGATCATTGCAACGCCTATTTCATCCTCCCTGGCAAGAGACACTGGTTCTCCTGCCCACTGCGCAAAGACAGGCTACGTCATGTCGAGAAGTTGTTGACGCCCGCAGTCTTGCTACAAGAAATCGAGAAAATGGACTTCCCACACGCTGTAACTGTGGAGATACCGAAATTCTCCTTGAAATGCACCATGGCGGTCGAGAAAATCCTTGCGCAGATGGGTATGCCGACCGCGTTTTCCGACGACGCTGATCTGTCCGGAATCAGCACACAGTCGCCACTGAAGATTTCTACCATCATGCAGACAGCCGTTTACGGTGAGCAAAGGTCATAGTTTCCTATGGGCTTCTTAGAACTTACATTTTCCAGCATCGAGGGAGAATTTTCCTGACAAATTGTTTCCAGAATTCAAAAGAATTTTTTAAAAAACGCTTTGCATATTCGCACATTAAATTTTCTCCGTGAAATCAGTATCTCAATTTTTTTATGTGAAGTCGAAGAAACACTGACCGATGACTGTGCCTGCTGAAAATCGGGTTGAACACAGGCGAGTTCGGAACACCTTAGCAGATATGTGTCACCCACCGTCAGTATTTACGAATCGTACCCAAGACAGTTTTGAAAAGTTTTATCAATCTTTTTGTAAAGAAATAAATGATTTGTCACAGAAAAACAATACAAAAACGGAAAAGAATTGCTGTGAAATAAGAGAGTGGAAGAAACCGTATTTTTTTGTAAAGTGGTATTAGACGCTCTTCGCTAACTCCTCTATCAGTTTTACAAGGGTGGGAGTCGTTAGATTTTTGATAGTTTTTGCGTTACTTAATATCGGACTGCTTATAATAGTAACGTTACTAACGTATATGCACAGTGCGCTGCCAATGCCCTTTTTTATTGACGCATTGTAAAATAACCGAACTGTCAGCTAAAGCGCACAGGATGTTTCATTGTTATCTTATCTGTTTCAGGGATCGACGAAAGCAAGAAGTGCTTAATAATTTTGCTGCCCGACATCCACAGCTGCGCATTGTGTCCAGTTCTACTCTTACACTGCTCGGGGCCCCCGTGCTGGACGACGCGATTGGCTCATCGCTTACCGAAAAGGCAGCTACACTGGTCAGCGTATGTGAAAGGTTGAAAATTCTGCCGCGTCACCATGCACTGTATCTCCTCAAACCTTGCCTTGGCGCGCCGAAAGTCGTTTACATGCTGAGATGCTGCAACGCCTGGAGGTACCCGCTGAAGTTATATGAAATAGACGAGATGCTGCGCTCCTGTTTCCAAACGCTGTCACGACGACTACCCTTGCTGGCGACAGGCCAGTCTTCCCGTTAGCAGAGGCGGCATCGGCATACGTCGGTCGGAGGAATTAGCACTCCCAGCCTATTTGGCTTCGATTCACTCCGTATCCGATTTAGTATCGAAAATGCTTCCATTTCGTGCGCCCGTCGTATTTACAGAAGCCCTCGAGCTGTGGAAACAGAAGTCCAACCAACCGGAATTCCCAGAACCAAACTTCCGCAGACAACAGAAGGCCTGGGATATTCCTCTCTGTAATGTATCTTTATCCACGCTGCTAGATGTTTTCCGGGACGATAAAGTGAACAAAGCGCGGCTTCTCGCACAGTCTAAACCAGAAGCCGGCATTTGGCTAAATGCACTGCCTTCCTCTCACATTGGCAATCTCCTAGATGATGACACTTTAAAAATCTCCGTGGGCCTGAGATTGGGATTTGCTATATGCGAGCCTCACGAATGTATGAAGTGTCACAAGCATGTCGACAAATATGGGCATCATGGGTTGTCCTGTGCGTTTTCTGCTGGCAGACACCCACGTCACGGAGCACTGAACAGTATTGTCTGTCGATCTTGTGTCTCGGCTGGGATTCCGGCGAAGTTGGAGCCACGTGGCACGTCGCACACGTCCGAACGGCGGCCCGATGGCTGCACAACCTTCGCCTGGCAGAGAGGGATGTGTTTAGCTTGGGACGTTACTTGCGTGGACACTGTCGCGCCTTCACACGTTAATTCATCAGCAGCCAACGCAGGTGCGATTGCAATGGAGGCAGAAGAAAAAAAGTCAAGATTCTATTTGTATTTGAGTGGCAGATACATTTTTGCGCCAATCGCCTTCGAAACAATGGGACCATGGGGGCCGTCGGCCATTGCGATTATTAAAGAACTTGGCAAGCGACTGAAACAACACACAGGCGAAGCGCGCTCCCATGAGTTTTTACGTCAAAGATTATCGCTGGAGATACAGCGGGGAAATGCGGCATCAGTTATGGGGACGATGGAAGGAGCGGAAAAGTTTAATGAAATCTTAATGTTGTAAAAAACTTTTGCGATGTTTTAAAGTGTTTAATTGTACGTTATACCAAAGGTGAATAAAATAGTATGTCGACGAAAGCGGTACTGACTGCTTCCCTGTAACTACGGATCGTTGCATAATCATGTCGTTCTATCCGCAAAACAGGGTGAAGTTTATAGCGAATCGGCCGTTCTTATTTGTCGTATGCCATCAAGAAACAAACACCATCTTGTTCATGGGACGCATTTGTAACCCTCTTACCTGAGTCTGCTTTTTTGGGGCCGCATGCTACAGTTTCCAAGTTAACTGTTCGCTACTTCCCTGCGCCGCGTTGAAACGTGCATAGTGATTATTTTTTAGTTTCGTCAAATTGAGATTTTACTTTACAATGTACCGGTACGATGTGTCAATGGTACATACTGTACATGTTGTGCACAAAGCTTTCACAATCAGTTTTATACATGTACACATGACTGCTTCTACAGCTACAGTAGCCGTAGTAAACTGCGGTTGCTGTTTGAAAAATACCGTAATTGAAATGCTCTCCCGCCGTCGTGCAATAAGCCAAACTGGTGAAAGATCCTTTCACTTATCACGCGGATCAGCGTGTGAGTAGCGTGATTGCGCCGGTTTCAATCGATTTCCGATACCGGCCTCTGTCGATCCATCACGTAGGAAACTAGAAAGCAACCGCTGGGTTGCTTTCACGTCCGCTGCGTTTTTCATCCCGCATCTGCGCCCGTGTCAGCCAGCCGCACTGGCTGTATGTATCTGTACAGGCGCAAAGTGAAGAGTACGCTAGCTAAACGTACACTGCAAAGAAAAAATATTACTGACCATTATTGATTGACTGGAAACCATATCGGCAGCGTGTTTGGCGTAAGGAAGAACATTGATAGACCTGAGCTTTTTAAACGGCTGCATCCGAAAAACCGCTCCATATGGTGACCCAATAATTCCAGTGCGGAGAATCTCAGGGATTTCTGTAAACCAGACTGTTCAGCAAATATTTTCCTATTCTGATTATCACCCGAAAACGGAAGTAGACTAGTTTTGAATGTGTCGTGTACGGCCTTAATTTGGATCCAATGGGGAAATCTGGCAAGACATTCGCGGCTATCCTTAACCGCGACCAGACCTGGGCCTACCATGAAATCATTGCGGAGGCCCTGTTCGTCCTGTGGACCGGATGCCATTTGTCCTTGAAATTCGGAACGCGCTTCTTCCCGGAATGGGAGACAACGCGCATCGACCCGGACAGCTACACCAGCCTCGATCGTCTTCTGTGGCTACTGCTTCGTCAGGTGGGCTTGTTTCTCATAAAAATCTTCGCGTAGTGGGAAAAAAATAAAATTTTATTGCTGCTCTGCACGCTTATTTTATTGCTGCTCTGCACGCTTATTTTATTGCTGCTCTGCACGCTTCTATGTGTAGCCAACTTGCCGTAGCACATTTTTTAGGTCAAACTAAAATAATTTTTTAGTTAACATTTAGAACGCTTCTCTAGAGCAGCATTTTTAAAAATATAATTTCATCTGCGAAGGTCAATCACGCGTGCCAAAAGAATAAATAAGTACAAAGTAGTGCATACTGTTACAGGCACAAAAAGTTACTGTAAATGCTTTTTTCCGTAATACCAGGTAGGTGCACAGTGCACTCGGTTGCTAACGCTTGTTGAAGTGACTGCAATCTTTTTACAAGGTTTTTTATGTACGAATTTTCTTACAACTAAACCGAAACGCAAATTTTCAAAATGTAAAATCAGGTAGTGCTATACCTTACTACAAAATTAAACGTTTCCGAATTCTGACCCGGAAAAATTAGCCACGGTTAAAAAACTAAGTTTTGTATTAGCTCCCCTGTTTTCATTCTATAGATTTTATTGCCGGTTACATGTACCGTCTGTGTTAACTTTACTCATCACATAATAATGTCATTGATGAGCGCAATCTCGTTTTCCAAAATAAATAGGAATTTCCATACCTGACAGAACTTGTTGTAATTTTGTGTTAATAATTTTCTTCTTGGTAGAATATCACTGGCTGTGTATGGGATGACGTTGTCTCTCATTGGAAACCCGTGAGCACGGGGCGCGGCATTGTCGGTTACACTGGCGCCATCAGTGTCCTCGGCATGACCCTGTTTCTCGGCGTCTCCTTTCTGTGCTCCGCGTGGGTCAACCGTGACTGGCACATTCCCCGCTGGACACAGCACTTGCGCCACTGCCGGCGCATTACGACCTGGTTCGGCTACCGCACGACCTACGACGGTGACGAATGGGATGTGCCTACGGAGGGTGGTTGGCGCTTCTGGACTCTGTGGTTCCTTGTTAGTTTAGCCAGTATGACCGTGTTTGTCGGGTTGTGGCTCGTCTTCTGCGCGTTGCCGGTGGTCATCGTGGCGGGACTGACGGTGGCCTGGATCGGCCGGCACGTCGGTGAAGAGGTCGTGTTCCCGGCGACGGTGGTGTGCTTCGGTCTACTAGTAGTGCATTGCACCGGTCGAATTTGGGGATTCGGGATGAAAAAGACGTATTTCACGCAGTGGCATGAGATGATCAGGTACTGTGTTTTCTCCCAATTAAAAGAACCTACTTCGATAAACCTCGTATTCCGGCATCCCTTTGACTTCCGGCAGCCGGTTAGCTGAAAATGCACATGAGCAACCGCCCTCGTTGACGACTGCATTTCGAAATAATTAATTCTACGCACTGCTTTTCGCCGCGAAGACATGTCGCCGCGGGACATTTTAACGCTGCGACACTTCGGTTTGGGATAATTTGCATTGAGACATTTTAACTTTGCGACATTTTGACGCAAGACGTCTCGTCGCGGACACTTCGCCGCAAACGAATTCGACACGGTTATTTTCGCATGTCTTCCGGTTTTCTTGGAACGTTTTCTTTGGTTTTCTTAGGTTTCTTAAGTTCCTCAATTTATTCTTAGGTTATTTTTAGGCCATTCTTAGGTTTTTCTTAAACTACTCTTTGGCTTTTCAGAATTCTTTGATTTCTTAGGTTGCTTGGGTTTCTCAGATTTCTTACGTTCCTGCGGTTTCTAAGCCTGACGAAAAATTTGTTTGCTAAAAACGACTTTTCGTAGAAACAGACTCACAGCGAAGTGTCGCGGCTTCTAAACTGCCTGGCGAAGAAATGTCTCGCGGCTTGATGTCCTGTCGACTAAATGTCCGGCGACGAAACGTCGCGCGGCGAGATGGCCTTGCGGCGGAATGTCTGCGACCAAAGTCCTGCGACTAGTTATCCTCGGCGTAATGTCCCGGTGCCGTTATGCTGGATTTTCAGCTAGCCGGCTGCCGGAATCCAGTATAAAAGTTCAAGGGGTGCCGAATAAGAGGTTTATCGAAGTATACTTCTCCCTGACTAACAGGCAGTCAGAGTCGATGCGGTTTACCGCATCGCTGCCATAAATGTGATTTAAGAGTTTTAATTGGAACTGTCACTGTCGACCGACAAATCGTATTGGTCGAGCACTGCTCCTTAGAGAAAAACCTAATTTCGTGAAAAACAGTAACGAGCTAGAAAAACTTTTAATAATGATCCTGAACACATAACGTATTTTCCCTAAAACCGAGTCAAACTTATCCCTTTTCCGAAAAATTCTCAGGAATGCTGATTTTTTACAATCCTCTTACAGATATGCCACGGGAAGGCGCCTTCTGGTGCAGCCATTTGCGGCTGACCGGGAGAACGAAATTGCACACACGACAGAAACAGCGACCGACCCATGGTGGTGCGTTAGACGCGCGAGATTGCACGCGCTCTATGTGGTGGTGTTTCCGGCGTGGTACGCTGTGGTTAACCACAGCGCGAACGTGCTGCAGCAGTTGCCGTTCCCTGCCGGCTGGATGGATCCGTTCTATCATGTGACAAGGGTTCTCTACTCATTCCTGGACCATGCCGACATTCGCGATTCCCCATCCGCCTCGGCATCGACATCCGCCTCGGAAATCTCCTGGACAACCACTGTCCCGAGCACATCGACGTCCGCCGCGAGCTCCTACTGGAAAACCGTCACTTGCACCGAGTGCTGTGACAATTTCGCAACGGTATGGAAGCCGTAAGGAAAAGCCGTAAGGCCTGAATATTTGTCAAAAGTGTCAAAATGGGATACATACACTCAAACTTTCGCTTCCGCGCACTCCAAAGCACTTTTAGTAATACATTATGTCATTCTTAAAGCTAAACTAGCGGTGGTTGCGAACCACATTATTGAACGAGCGCGAGCGCGAGTACCACTGGGAAATGGTATTGGGATTATGGAATTGGAAAAGCGTGACGTACGCTCTTCGTGGCGTGAGACAAAATTTTATGCTCTTGACGAAGACTTACTGCAGCATCTCGCGCTTCGCGCTCGGTGCAAATGATTTGTATAAATTCTTGTTATTTATTTATTTCTTTCTTTCTTTCTTTCTTTCTTTCTTTCTTTCTTTCTTTCTTTCTTTCTTTCTTTCTTGCTTGCTTGCTTGCTTGCTTGCTTGTTTGTTTGTTTGTTGTTTGTTTGTTTGTTGTTTTGTTTGTTTGTTTGTTTGTTTGTTTTGTTTGTTTGTTTGTTTGTTTTGTTTGTTTGTTTGTTTGTTTGTTTGTTTTGTTTGTTTGTTGTTTGTTTGTTTTGTTTGTTTGTTTGTTTGTTTTGTTTGTTTGTTTGTTTGTTTGTTGTTTTGTTTGTGTTGTTGTTTGTTGTTTGTTTGTTTGTTTGTTTGTTTGTTTGTTTGTTTGTTGTTGTTTGTTTGTTTGTTTGTTTGTTTGTTTGTTTGTTTGTTTGTTTGTTTGTTTGTTTGTTTGTTTGTTTGTTGTTGTTGTTTCTTTGTTTGTTTGTTTTTTTTGTTTGTTTGTTTGTTTTTTTGTTTGTTTGTTTTTTGTTTGTTTGTTTGTTTGTTTGTTTGTTGTTGTTTGTTTGTTTTGTTTGTTTGTTTGCTTGTTTGTTGCTTGCTTGCTTGCTTGCTTGCTTGCTTGCTTTCTTTCTTGCTTTCTTTCTTTCTGCATTTATGTATTTATATATTATATATATATATATATATATATATGCGCGAAAGCGAAAGTTTTAGTGTATTTATCCCATTTTCGACCTTATGTACCGGGCCATTTTCCTTAACAAACATAGTGGTCACATTTTTCCCGGTTAATATGCGTGCCAATGGCGAAAGCAGACAACAGCTGCTTCAGGAGAACAATTTGATGACGGTCACGTAACACAGTGCCTAGTCCGCAGCTCACACGCTGTTTTCGTAGGGACTGCCCCAGTGGAATGCGATGTTATCGTACTATGTCGACTTAAAATACCCCCCGTGGACCACCGACAATCCGACCATGGTGGCGCTGTTCAACACGGTCTTCTCACCGGTGACCGAACGCTTCTATCTGGCATGGATGACGACCATTGCGTGGGTGGTCGGGCTCCCGATGATTGTCATGGGACTGGCGGGAGTAGTAGGCATGCCCGCGCGCTGTGCCTGGCATTGCTTCCGCGCGCTGATCACGTAAGTGGCTGCATCGGCGCATCTGGTACCATAAACGCTTTTTCTGCTTTAGGTCAATTTATCCGGTACACCTAAACGCTATTCGTTTTGTTTTACCAGGAAACCGAAGAAGGTTCTGGATAACGCGGAGGACCTCAACGAGAAGGAACGTTCTCCGGAGAAATCCGCGATCGAGCCCAAGAAGAAACCGTTCTGCGTGTGCGCTTTATGGATGGCCGTTGAACGGCTCATTTTGGTGGTATTTTCGCGCTGTGCGATCTGGTTGTGTATCCCATTTCCTGTGCTGGAGCTAATCGTTCCGGAGCAGTATCTGTTGCCGGCATGGCTGCTACTGCTGAGTGTTATCGAAGTGGGCCTCTACTGCTGTGTGTGGAAGACCATCCGTTACCGCTGCCGTGAGCGGCACGCAGACGGTGACGATTCCTGGCACCGAGGGAAGGCGGTACCGGAAGATGGTGATGCACTGCTCTTGGCACCGTAATCAGCTGCCCATTTAACGGAGACTTCCCTGGCGATAGTTCAAGCGTCCGTACATTTTCGACAGTCTTGTATTTCACAAAAACTTTCATAGTTCCCTTCGGAATCGTCGTACACGAGAAGCTCCTACTTGTATACTAAAGGTATTTGCTGTGCGCGTTCGTGCAGCATATTTACTGATCATTATTGTTCCATCCGAATGCGTTCTCAAATGCGGTATTATTTCTGTTCTCTTAATCACGTGTACGAATTAATCTTCAGACTTAAAATACTCTGACGTGTGTTGGTAATTTTAGTTTGTCTTGATTTCAGCTAGTATTCTCTTAGATTGACAATTTACACCCAAGAATGTATGCCTCAACGGTTCTACAAATTAATAATGTCAAGTTTAGACATCCGGCCGTTACGAAGTCCGTTGCAGTACGAAATTATATCCATACTATGCTAAAATAAATTCAAATAAATCCATACAGCTCAAACACGATTTCAGCAGTTTCACAACGCACTCAACCCACTCGAACGCAGAGAATTCCGCGGTTGTTGTTAAAAACATTGAATTTCAAATTAAGATTTAGGGTTATTCGCGAGCGACTACGCATTTGGGACAGCAGCCGTACGAAGAAAAAGTGTACGTGTACGCAACGCTGAGGTGTACGTAAAGCTAAAGTTCTTGCCTGTACTATAGTCTACGGCGCATTGCGGTACAGAATTTATCGTACGTAGTACCGAGGTGTACGTTTTTCAGGGGTGTACGTAAGATGAGGTTTTTACTGTAATTACATAAACCGTCGACATCTCGCGACACCACTATGGACAAAGGCCACACCAGTAATGTCTCTGAACACCACTACTGTATTTGCCGTTGGTTTTGACATTTCTGCAATGATTGCGGAGCGCTCACAAATGCTTAGCCAGGATCCGTGCATGTCAGCTTAGGAGATTTTCGCATGTCAGCTGACTTCATCGGGAAGAAAACCCCTCAGATGACATTTCAGATGTATTCGACTAAACACATGCGAAAGGTATGCAATGCCGGCACTGTGCATTTGCTATGGAGTCACTTGTACCGTAAATGCCAAACGAACAACTTTGCAGCGGTTCCCTGTGTGTCAACAGCGTCGCTTCGATGCCTTGTTGTCAGCAGCGGAGAAGCGTAGAATACCGACTCAGTTCTACTGACTTCGGTGTTTATGATCTCGGTAAACTGTTCAAAAATAATCGTTAGGAATTTGTAGAATTTGTTTTTTCCAGACTTGTCTGACCTTCTGCCTTCCTATACAGTATTGACTTCTGCAAACATGCATGGGTGAGTTATGTACTGGTCAGTCTACGGTTCATTTGCATGGCTAGTGCTACATCATTTAATGAAGTTTCCAAACGCAAACGCCGGATGCGGCACAAAATGTTTGAACCGAGCTAAATTCAGTTAAACCTCATTACTAAGGCAAACTCCCACTTAAATGTTGCGTAATCGGTAATGGCAACAAAATTACAAAACTACGAAAGCTTCTAGTCTAATAAATTGTTGCCCTGATGCATTATTTAAACTTTTGCTTATTTCCAAAGCTAGACCTAATATTTTAAGGTTTATCCGCAGTTTTGCGGTATGTGCATGGTCGAGCTCCACTACCACACGGCCAATGGCATGGTAAAGATCTTTAATGAGTTCAATCGAAATGATTGAAATCACTCAAAATTAATGCAATCAGTGTACGAAGCACGAACTGATTGTACGTACTACTTATTGCATTAAAAGCCTCTAGTGCTAACTGAAGCGCAAGTTAAAAGAAAACCACAGCAGCCCTTCCGAGGCGGTCCAGGAGCCCGAGCAATCGTGATGGCAACGGAAGCTGCAACTTGGCTCACCAGTGGTGAGTTACCTCTCTCTTACCACGTGTTGCAACGTGAATTGTGATCGTTTTTTTAATTTTCTATTTTCGTCGGACTTTACTTTGCACTTGAATCCTTTGAGTTCTCTAATAAGTACTGATCTTTTTCGCATAAAATGGGACTAAACGCGGACAACTACAGTCGTCCCACATCGAATAATTCATATGCAATTTCCCGTGCGACGCATGCGCGTAAAGCGGCAGAGAGTAATAACTGGCAATGTACTGGTCTGATGTATCCATGGTACATACTGTAAAAGTTGTGCATAAACCTTTCACAATCAGTTTTTGTACATGTACGTAAAACTGCTTCTACAGCTAGCTACAGTAGCGCAGTAAACTGCGGTTGCTGTTTTAAAAATTACCGTAATTTAAATGCTCTCCAGCCGTCGTGCAATAAGCCGAACTGGTGAACGATCCTTTCTTTCACTTATCACGCGGATCACCTCGGGAGTAGTGTGATTACTCAGATTGAAATCGATTTCCGACACCGATCCTGTCGATCCATCACGTAGGAAACTAGGAAGCATCGGGCTAGGTTGCTTTCTCTTCCGCTGTATTTTGTATCCGGCATCTGCGGTTGTGGCTGTATGTACAGGCACATCCAGCATTGGCTGTATCCAACATTGTCTGTATGCACATGCACAAAGGTGAGAGCATGCAAGCTCCACGAAGAAAAAGAATTACTGACGTAATTGATTAACTGGAAATCATAGGGACAACGTGTTTGACGTAAGGAAAAACATTAATAAACCTTAGCTTTTTCAGCGGCTGTACCCGGAAAACTGCTCCGTATGGTCTCCAACAATACCTGTGCGGAGAATTTAAGGGAATTTCTGTGAACCAAACTGTTCAGCAAACATTTTCCTATTCCAAATTAACGCCAAGTACTTATGTAGCCTAGTTCTCTTTCAAATTTGTCGTGTACGGTCTAAATTTGGATCCAATGGGGAAATTTGGCAAGACATTCGCGGCTATCCTTAACCGCGACCAGACCTGGGCCTACCATGAGATCATTACGGAGGCCCTGTTCGTCCTGTGGACCGGATGCCATTTGTCCTTGAAATTCGGAACGCGCTTCTTCCCGGAATGGGAGACAACGCGCATCGACCCGGACAGCTACACCAGCCTCGATCGTCTTCTGTGGCTACTGCTTCGTCAGGTGGGCTTGTTTCTCATAAAAAGCTTCGCATAGTGGACAAAACTGAAAACCTCAAATCTGCGCTTACTCGTTTCTGTGAGTTGGCACTCGGCAACTTGCCATAGCAATTTTGAAGGTCAAATTTAGAAAGACGCAGTATGGGATACTGCTCTAGTACTTATGCTAAATAAAGTTGACTTATGCTTAAAAATATAACTCCATCTGGGAAGGTCGGTAAGACTTGTAAAACAATTACCTAAATAAATACGTAGCAGTACATAATGCTTCACCGACGTGTCTACCGATCCAGGCCACCGTCAGTCCCGCCACGATGACCACCGGTAACGCGGAGAAGACGAGCCACACACCAACGAACACGGTCATGCCAGCCAAATTCAGAAGGGACCACAACGCCCAGAAGCGCCAACCGGAAACAATCGGCGAATCCCAGTCGTCACCGTTGTAGGTCGCGCCATAGCCGAACCAGGTTGTGATGCGCAGAACGGAGACGCCGAGAAGCACCGTCATGACCACGACGGCAACGGCTCCCACGTAGCCGGCAGTACCGCGCCCCGTGCTCGTCATAACCGCATTAGAGGGCGTTTGCGACGTGGAAGGCTTCCAAGTGGAGACAGCGTCATCCAACATACAACCAGTTATATTCTACCAAGGGGAATAACACAAAATTACAACAATTTATGTCAGCTATGAAAATTGTAGTTACTTTAGAAAATTATCATTGCAGCTCCGCAGTAAAATTCACAGAATAAACGAGCACAAACGCAGCTGAAGTACGCCTGCAGTAATCCATTCTCTTGTTTTCCGAATATCAAAATATCAAAATTTCCTGTTCGGTTCAGTTGCAGATTCGTACATAAAATACTTGTAAAAATATTGCAAATTGCAGTCACACTACAATTTTTAGCAATCAAGTGCACCTACTGCGGAAAAAGCATACACTTTTATGTGCACTGCTAAGGCCGTGTTCCCGGCGACGGTGATGTGTTTCGGTCTGCTGGTTGTGCATTGCACCGGCCGGATTTGGGGATTCTGGATGAACACGACGTATTTCATGCAGCTACATGAGAAAATCAGGTACTTTTTTCTCCGAATCCAGAAAAACTTTTCTGCATATGACGATACTGACATGCTACACGGAAGTCGCACCGCGTCTACCGTACTCGATGAGCAACCATACACAGTCGGTACAGTGGGAAGACGCTCTGGACTCCGATGAGTGGTCGTACACAAACAATCTCCAACTTCCGCTAGGTACAGTACAGCTAATGTGCCTAGCGAAAGCTGCTGAAAAACTAACACTCAGGAACTTCCCAAATGTTTAATCAACAGAACAGAAGTACATACCTGTCTTGTACCAGAAGGTCACACCAACTTTCTAGTAAAAGCCAACTTCTTCACAGTCCCCAGACTTATAATACAGCCGACCAAAGACTAATCATGCAACCGGCATCGCTAATAGAATAAGTGATCAAATGCGTTAGATAAGAACAGCAGTCGTACGTAACAGAACACTCAACACGAACGTCACAGCACGTACGTACGTAATACACGCAATCTACGAATAGCCTGTTAAAACTTCGTCTGTTTTCCAAATTACTGTTCTAAAAATCTAGCCCTAATGCGTATTTTCTCTGGAAGGAATGCCACGGGAATGCGCCTTTTCATTCAGCCGTTTGCCGCTGACCAGGAGAAAGAAATTCCACACACGACGGAAGCAGCGTCCGATCAACAACTGCTTTTCGAATTGCGCGCGAAATTGATGAGCATCTTCATGTTGTTAGTGGTTCCGGCGTGGCAAGCGGTGGCTCACCACAGCGTGACCGTCCTGCATCAACTGCCGTTCGCAACCGGCTGGATGAATTCCGGTCCGTCAGTTGACCAGGGCGATCTTTTCATTAATTGAAAATGTCCCGAGTGAGACCCCGGACAGCTACTGGACAACGTCCAACTGCACCCAATGCTGCGACAATTATGGAACGGTATGAACGCCTTAACCAGCATGGTTGTCATTGCTTTCGGTTAGAGTAGGTCTCAGGTTCGATACGAATCTAATTACTATACAGCAACTCCACCTAGGGAGGTGACTGTACAGATCACCTGATTCGTGTAGAATTTGAAACGCTCCCTCAAAATGCATGCCCGCTGCGAAAGCTGTTTCCAGTGGTAGTCTTCGTTGGGAATTCATACATGTTTCTTAGGGAATGGACCAGTCGAACGCGATGATGTCGTACTATGTCGACTCCGCTGGACAACCAGCAATCCGACCATGGTGGCGCTGTTCAGCACGGTCTACTCTCCGGTGACCGAACGCTTCTATTTTGTGTGGATGTCGAGC